TTTTTTTTTTTCTCTTCTTCCCCGCCAATCTTTTTTTGCTACAACTTAAAAAGACATTTATTTATTAAGCAGTTAATATACAGCATTTGTATGCTGTTAAACAAAACAAAGCAAAACAGACAAAATATGATCAAAGTTAATGAGAAAGTTAAAATGAAAAGATTGTTTGATAAAATATTTCAATTAAAAACTATTTTTTTTCTTCTTAAAAAAAAATTGTTTACGAATGATGAGATTCACATCTGTAAAACTTCTTCTCCGTCGTCTGCTTCTTCCTGCAATTTCAATTCCTATGGGAAGTGTAAAACCAAAAAAAAGCAAAGCTAAGCTAAGTAAAAAAAAAAAGAAAGAAAACTGAGTAACAGAAATAACCGACTGCAAAAAGCTGAAAAAGAAACTTTTTTTTTCTATGCTAAAAAAAGCAAATTCTATAACCGCTTTACATTTTATCTTTTTGGAGTCACTGAGAAATCCAAAAACGTTTTTCCTTTTCTTTTCCTTCAATTTAAACCGTGCAAAATTATACAGAAAAAGAAAAGCTGAGCTTAATTTTTTAGTACCCTTTAATTAGCAGAACATTTTCACGGTCTTAATATTAAAAATTTCTCTATTAATAATACAAAAGAGTTTTGAAAAATTTGTTATACACTTTTATGAAAAAGTAAATCTGCGATATTCAATTTGAAACTTTAGTAAAAGAATTTTTGAAAACTCGGAAAACATCAAAAAGAAAGAGGAAGGAAAAATAAATCAACAAAAAGAAAAAACTTTTTACTAAACAATATTATAGTCATTTATAGCAAATTTAAAGCTTAATAAATTATAAAGTTGATTAGCAAAACTAAATAAAAATTGGAAAACGGAAAAAAAGAAAAGAAGAACAAATTTGCCAAATATCTTTTCACCATATTAACATTAAGAAATATATACATATAAATATATACATATATATATCATCAAATTTGACTTGACCCTATGGATTAGAAGCATAATTATTAATAGTCAGAAGAACACTGATGAAACTCTGAGAATGTTTACTAAATAATTGAGATGAGCAGCAGCAGCAGTAGCAGCAGCTGTAAATAAATAATGGATACAAATGTGCGATAGAATAAATGCTGTATGCAACAACAACAACAAAAAAAAAGCAGTTAAGAACAGACTAACGGAAGAAGACTGCAACGTCGTCGACGACGACGACAAAGAAGCTGATGGTGACGATAGAGTGGGATCAGTGCAGATGTTTCCTGGATGAACAATATACCGAATACCATTTTTTTTTTTTGGAAGCAGCCTTTTTCTGATGCTGTGCAAAAATTATTGTGCTGCAATTGTTGCAACTGACAGCACAATAGCTGAATCTTAATTTTTGTGCAGCAAAAAAAAAGAAAAAACTTCAACATATAAAAGACAAAGTAAGAAAAATCATATTTTTTTCCAAAAAATTTAATAATCATTTTTTTGAAGAAAAAAGAATAATAATCATAATTTACAGTTGATATTTTGTTCCTATAACGATTATAAAAAATTAGAATAACTGTGTTTTGGTGAGAACAAATTGTCACTTTTTTTCAACAATTCTTCAGCTCTTTTAAAAAAAAGAAAAACAGTATATCGACATTTATAAACGTTTTCTTTTCTTCCTTTTTTTTTTCCTTACATTAGAGGAAAGCTTATTTTTTTTTTAAGTCAGACTTTTTTTTTATTTTCACAAATTAACCATTTGAGACAAAAAAAAAAAGAATTGGCAGCAGCACAGTTACAGTAATACGCTATTGATATCCATCGTTTTTTTTTTTTTGCTTCTGCTTCTGTTATCGTTGCTGCCAACAAAGATGACAATCAGAAGTTGGGGGAAAAAAAACGTTAGTTTCCAGTTTTTTTCTTCTTCTTTTACAAACTAAAAGAAAAAAAAAAAGGAGAGAACAAAGAAGAACGGTAAGAAAAAATATTGCTAAAAAAAATCAAGAGTTTTTTTTTGCTTTTTTTGTTGTTCTTTTCTTTTTATTGCTTTCTTTTCTTTTTCATATTTTTTTTTTTTTT